TTGTTCGGATCATTGGTATCTAAGTCTTCCGTTTGCGCCATCTTGTACTTTGTATTGAGAGGTCGGTTCTTGTTCTGGTCTGCACAGTTACAGTATGCAACAGTCCTGAAAGGTCAAGGTCGTAGCTGCTAGCCTGCTACAGTGTTCGAAAGGCCAAGTCCACAGACTTCCGGAAGGTCCGGAAGTGGCCTTTCGAAAGTGTCAAACGTTTAGCCAGAGGCAAGGGGGCAAGTGGTAAGCCCAACCGCGTTGAGTCGGCAGTGCGACCCCATGCAGTCAGCGGTACCGGTCCCAGTCAGTCGTAGTCCAGTCAAGCAAGTACCGGATGGGACTGTGCACACCGAGGGCCTGGTGCAAAGGGGCAGACCAGCGGCAACAGAAGTATAAATCAAGAGCAGCGCCCAGCAATTCATTCATTCGCTGTGTAAGCCATGTGGAAGGGCTGCATCAGCGTCTTGTGCAAAGGTGGTCTGCAGGTTGGCCCAAGTCGAAGTGGGCTGAGAGAAGAAAGTGTAGCCATAGCTAGTAGCTGTTGTGCGGCCATAGCCGCCATAGTGTTAAATGTTAGTGAGGGTGTATGAGTAAGTGCCAGAGTGAATGTGTGTGGGAGTATTCAAGGTGATCCAGAGTTGAGTACGGGTGAACAGTGTTGTCGAACACAGTGACGAGAGTTGTTCTGTGAAGGCGTTAATGCGCCATAGCATGTTGAAGCGAGTTTACATCTGAACTGTGTTCTCGATTGCCATATCTCTGAGCTTTGAGTGGGCGCTGTGCGCCAGAGTGAATCACCATCTGTTTGTATGCGAAGTGGAAAAGAAAGTGAGTCTGATTGCATGTATAATGCATTGCTAAAAAAAAACGCCTGTAGTTATGTGGATTACCAAAGAAATACGAGCAAGAGATCCAAAACCCCACCAATAGCTGAGATTGCTAGGACTCGGAGAGGAGTGCGAGTGAGTTTCTGCAATTTAATAGTTTATATTTTTGTATTAAGTTTTTTTTTTCCGACTACCGCACGTACCAGAGACAGGTCAACTGAAGTGTTGATGCATTCGAGTCGACTCGTACATTCTTATGACCACATGGCTGGAAAATGAGGGAGCTCGAGTGGATGATAAACTTACCTTTGCCACAAGGTAGTCGACCAGGATGCCATTTCCACCAAGAAGCTCACGTCCGAGGGCCACGGTTTCTCTCGCACGCTGTGTATTCCAAGCCTGCAAGCAAAGCCAAAGTATACCCAGAACTTGGCGGTCAATCAGAGAACAGAGAACAGCACCGAACATCATAGCTGGAAATTCTCCCCGATCATTGCAATCAGATTGTGTGAAAGAGATGAGAGACACTGTTGCATACTGTAACGGTGCAGACCAGAACAAGAACCGACCTCTCAATACAAAGTACAAGATAGCGTAGCGGAAGACTTAGATACCAATGATCCGAACAATCAATATTGCAATGCAGCCCTGAACATACATCATCATCATCGTTCCATGGTGTGAAAGGGG